TCGATGGCATCATGTTCAAAATCTAATCTGGTCATGTTAATAATGAGATCCAGGATGTTAGGGATTATTGCACTTAGTGCTGGCTGCAGGTTTGCAGAACTATGGATAACTGCAGAGTTTGTTGTTCCTGAAAGTTTCTTCAGTAACAGGATACATTTTGCTTGTTAAAAACACACTTTTAGCATAATTTACCATCAGATTTTTACAAACCCCAGAGTGGTTAATGCCTTTCCTTGAACAGGGAATGAGTGGTTCTGGTGGTTTCTGTCTCTCTACGATATCTGATCCAATTCTGCACATAGATCCATGAACTATGCTCCAAGGCGGGGATCTTCATTTCTGATCCTCAAAGGTCATGGTTCCTGCACATTTTAGATATCTCGCATTTGCAAAGTCGTCCAGTTATGTCAAAGCATCCATTGCACTCTATCACACATTAAAATAATACTGCACTTTTTTTTTTAAACAACTGACTATTTCACCAACAGCCTTCTCATTTCAGTTGAGCTTTTTGGCGAGTTTATTAAATGGATTATATTTAAGATAGGGATTGAACAGTTTGTTTTTGAAGGAAGACATTTATTTCATCTTAATCCAGGATTGTATGAAGATCACTTGAAATTAATTTTTATAAATAGATTAAAGGGCCACTTTTGTTTCTGTTTCAATGCTGCCAATATAATCCTTATTTTAATGAATGTATGTATATATATTTATACGTATATATACATATATATATATATATGTATGTATATATATTTATACGTATATATACATATATATATATATGTATGTATATATATTTATACGTATATATAGATATATATATATATATGTATGTATATATACAGTATGTATACATATGTGTATATATGTATATATATGTATATATATATATATATATATATATATATATATATATATATATATATATATATATATATATATATATATATATATGGCATACAGTTTATAAGCTGCTGTCTAAAATATAAATCCTAGTAGACCTGCATGGCAAACACAGGCCAAGGGGCAAAATTTAATGCAATGTTATTCCTGAGGATGAATTCTAGATTTTTATTATAGCTGGCTACCAGTAATATGCTGTATATCTAATACTAAGAACAATATCAAACCAACCTGTCTTTCTTGAATGCAGAGCCAATATCTAGTTAAAATAATGTAACATTTTACTGCAAATGTAAAAATAAGCACACACCTATTGTGGTCAATTATGTATTATAGGTGGAAATCTTTAAGGGAGTTTAGTTGAGCCATTAAAATATGCAAATGTTACTTTAGAGTGTAAATTTAACCTCTTTTCAACAGCTTCCGGTCTCTGAAAACCTACCTAACACATCTACTCTATAGACTTTGCCTTAATCAAATGACCTTGATCAGTAGATGAGGAACAGTTTCTTGGTGGACCATGATCTGGGCTGTGATTATCTTTAGACTGTGATGGTTTATCTGTATTTCAAAATGTCACGCCGGGTTATTTCTGAATCCTTGACATTTCAGAGATTTTGACTTTTACGTGGCCGACAGTTTGGCTTCTTTTTTTTCCAGCTTTCCCTTTTCTTTTGTTTGAGAAAACTGTGATAAAACCCACAAAGAAGGCCGTCCAGCCCGGATCCCTGATGAGCAGAGCGCACAGCGGCTCCCCTCATTGCTGTTATGGCACTGAGGGCTCCAAGCCAGACCATCCAAATGCTGACGTCACCTCCACTTGTGTGCACTGCAACAAGCAAGGAGGGGAGGGATGGATGGAGAGGGCAGAGTGATTGGTTTACCGGCCCCCCTTTCTTTGTGACACATCATGAAAATAAAAGTGCCAGAGGGCCTAAATTATCACATTCACCTTAACCGTGCACTCTCACATGTTGTTATAGAGAGGAATCCAAACCAGCAGTGCAGCCTGTGGCTATAACAGCCATGCTGACCGCAGTGTCTGTCACTGCTCTCTGGACAGACAAATAAACAAAGGCAGCACAAAGGTCACCAAAGGTTTCAGAAACCCTTTTTAAAACAAAGATCTTCCCCTTAGAGTAGATTTTACTACCAGAGCCTTTTTTTTTTCATTGGTTTCTCAGCCGTTTAAACTGTAAAACCTGCATGCAAATGAAAGACAGGACCCTTTGTGTCGCACTGAAAGCAGTCGCATTTAGGGAAAGGAACTTATTTTTTTTCTCTACAACTCAAACTGGTAGAGTGTCTTTCTTGGGCAACACTTTGGTTTCATATAAAAATAATTTCCTCAAATAAATAAAAGATTAAGTGCTACACCTAGTGGCTGAAAGGAGTAGAGCATTGGCTTCTCTCCCTCATCCCATGGCTGAAGGAGAGACTATCCCCACAAATATGCCCACTTACTAATGATCTCTAAGTCTCAATCTGGTTTCCAACACGTTCACAGCACTGTTTTTATTTGGACTGTTTTGCTCATAGGCTGCCCTGGTTTCATTGTCTTTCAGAGATGATTGGTGGGAGAAGGGGAAGATGATGATTTGACACCAAATCTGTTGAAGGATTTAGTTCACCATAAACTTTTGGACCCTCTGCAGAAACAATATACATATATTTTTTACTCTTAAATGTATTTTTGTTGCTTAGGTTAACAGTGGACCTGGCTGCCTTAATAAATAGTAATAAATGGAAATCAGAATAACAGAAAGGCTACAGCGCTTATCAACGGCAAAATGTGACAAAGGTGAAGAAATGTGCGAAAAGAGGAGGGCATTCAGCGACTTTTGTCAAACTTCTATTAGAAACGTCTTATTAATAAGGAATAAATATTTATTGTTAAAATATATATTAATTTAAGGGAGTGTTTTTTAAATTAAAGCTTCCCTATAAATACCCCTATGCAGGCTCTACTTATGGCAAAACAAACAAAATTGAAGACCATAATTTTTTTTATCTTTCAGTCGTTTCTTCAAGATTTTATATCAAAGGTGTTATTAAGATTATTCCTTTACTTAGTTTTTATAAAAGGACTTCCTGATCCAACCTGTTGATTTTCATCTCCAGAAGAGTCCAATCCCTAAATTTTTGGGGGAAAAAAACACATGCATATCAACATGTAGTCGAAGTCTGTATCAGTTTGATCCTGAAGACGAAGTCCAAATGAACCATCAGAGGAGTAACAGCTCTATATCGCTGCTTTGAGGCAATTAGTAATGCTGTCACAATAGTAAAGAGACAAACTTATAGTTGTAGAAAATCCACAATAAATGAAATGGACTTTAAACACAAAAGCAAATCTCAAGTTAACAGTTTTTGTTGTTTGTGTTGGTGGATTCAAACTGTAAAGGAAGACATGAGGCCTATGTTGGTCAGTCTTGAATGTCTGAATTTATCTAATTAACTTACTTTGTTTTCCTTAGATCTAATATGGTTAAATTGATAAAAAATATTTTGTTTTTTAGTCATTCTTTCAAAATCATTTATTATAACTGTTGATTAACTGTTTAAACAGAATTTGCAATTACATGAAAGTCAGGAAACAGGATCCAAAGTCTGCACTTTTACAGCACATCCGTACTGCAGCTCTTCCTTGCATCTTCCACAGGGTTAGACCGTCCACACGGAGCCCCCACTAAGGGTGGCTTCCTTGAGATCCGTTCCATGCAGTCCAGCTCTGCAGAGATCTAATATAGAGAATAGATTTGAGTCAGGTGTGTTGATGCTGAAACTTGCAGGACACAGGCCTTTGAGGAGTTTGAGACTTAAATGAAGAGTTTGAATGTTTTAAAACTAAGTTTTTTTTTTTACTTTATTACCAGTAATAGTTCCTTTAGTTGTTGGAAAACGGTGTAAAACATCACTGGGAATCCTTAAAAAAATGGAGTGAGGAAAGACTAACACTAAGTCAGACTGATTGCCTGCCTGCCTTCTAGCATTTTCAACCCATCCGGAGTAAAAATGTCCATGCCTGTGGAAGACAGCGCTATTTTAGTCGATATTACACATTTACACTTTATAAGGAAGCTATTAGTAACATAGCCACTTTTCTTCATCCAAATAAAGTCTGACTGCATTAGATTTGAGCTAATGGATGCTGCAGGCATTTGGTTCTGCTCGATCGGCTGATCGTGAGTCAAAGGGTGTATTAACAGGAAAGTCCTTGTGTCACTTCTTTCATCTGGATCTAAGGTAGAACTTTCTTCTTTGGGGAAGTCTGCTTTCACTGTTTATAAGTAAAGTATAATTTGTAAACAAAGGCACAACTCTGACAAGCCTTGCAGCCACTGGACAAAAGTGACCAATGCAGGACAGAGCAGCACAGACCTGGAAATGGAAAGAAAACGTCCATTAGAGTCCTACGTTCAGCAGCTTTGACCTGTATGTTTTTGCAATTGCTAAAGCTGCAAAGTCACTGCTTCAAGAGCTGCTAATTCGACACATGTTTTGTGACATTTTATCTGTAATCTTAGAACGGCGTCGGATAATGCCACCTGCAAGCCGAAGGAGACGATGCTCTCTGCAGCAGTGTGGTTAAACAAAAGATGAGCCGAATTAACTTCTGCATATATTTTTGCATCCAGTGGAGATGCACATTGTATGTATGTATCCTAAATCAGCTTCAATGGGGTTCAGCCTTAAAAGCTGATAGCCTGGTACTGCTTTTGGGATTTCTTTTATTATTATTAACAAACTAACAGAGGCATAACTTTCAAAATAATCTTTGGAAGTTGGCCCCCTAAATCACACTCTACTTAGGGCCCCTTTAAAATCTTGTGCTGCTTCTGCATGGGTTTTCATACACACATCCAAAGGGGGGCAACAATCTGCAGCCAGCAGAAATGTAGTAAACCCAAAATAACATGTGAACTTTTTCCCTCCTTAATTGTCTTCCAACTTTTCATGCTCACTAGGACCCTGAGGCAACCTCGGATCGGCCAAGTGTGGCTGGGCTGGATGGGAGGGTGGTTGTGTGGGTGGTTTTTTGGGGGGTGGGGGGGGGTAACGGAGGGGCTTGATGAGCAGAATACCCTTCTCAAGATCTTAAATAAGTGGCTGGGAGCTGGAAATTTCCGCACGTGACAAGCGACGCGCCGCTATATGAGGAAACCGGCTGAGAGCATCCAGACCATTCAGCCAGCTGCGCGCAAGACGCACACTCCAACTCCAGTAGAGTTTAAAGGGTAGCTGCACGCCGCGATCAGAGCAGACTGATAGAGAGTGAAAAGTCCAGGTTAAAGCGAGTCTAAGACATAAAGAGAACTGCAAGAAAAAAAAAGCAACCTTCCCCTCCCATTCACCACTTTTTTTTCATCCCTCCTTCTCGGACCTCCACTCTCAAGACGCCAGATCTTCCCAGTCACTCAGAGAGAGGGATGCTGCATACTGCTGAGCCGCACTTGCACTCAGACGGAACATAGAAGCGGGATTACACTTCATCTTTTCTGGAGAAGTGACCTAGAGCTGATTCTGGCTGCTTTTACGCACCGTTTCCTACTCAAGTGTTGAAAAAAAAGGGGGGGAAATCTGGACATTACCACACAGAAGAATCTCTTCTTTCTTCTTTTACGATCACAGGAAGGTGTTGATTTCGTTATTCTTATCACACCTTTGTTTTCTTCTCAAGCACGGACACTTTTTTCCCCTCTTAACTATTAACAGGAGAACCATCAGCGCGCTTTTTAAAGATGCTTCCACCCGAGGACGTGATACCGTATCGCGTCTTATCTGACGTTTGACACATTAAGGATCAGATAAAGGAAACTGGAGGAATTGGACAAAAGCAAAGTCAGAGAACTTCTTTTAAGCCAGGCTGTTTGGCTTTTTTTCTTCTTCTTTTTCTTTATTGGAATCCAAGCAAACCAGACCGCCGTCCAGATGCAGTTTCGACTATTCTCATTTGCCCTGATCGTCTTGAACTGTATGGAGTACAGCAACTGTCAGGCGCCGTCGCACCGCTGGAGGAGAAACAAGAGAGGTAATATGGAGTTCAAATCTTTGTGTTTTAGATCTATATAGAATAGAGTGACACCCTATAGATTGTCCCTGTAAAAAAGACAATTTCTGTCATAATCTGTCTGATGGAGGTTCTCCTGAGCGGTGCGCCAGCGGAAGGAAAACCAATCCAAAATGTTATAGGAGAACTCCCGATCTAGAACTCTCCAGAATTTCTCCCTCTTGGAAAACGAATGTAAAGTTCCAGGCTTCTAGCATCTCGTTAAAAATCAAAATTTTTTTTGTTTGTGTTGTCAAACGTTGACTTTTTCACGTCGCTTTACAATGTTTGAGCCAATTAATGGTGCGTAAAATTGCGCGCAGGTTTACGCGCGTTCTCCAAAATAAAGAAAACATGTTCAGTCTTTAATTGAGCAATTAAAAAAACACACCACTGGCTTAATTTATTTGATCAATATATGGTTTGGTTTCGTAATTTCCATATAAAACGTTAAATGTGTCGATCGGATGTATCCAAAATGGGTTGGAGAGGCTATAGAACCCAAAATCCAAGGTTTATGAATTGCGCATCTCCCATCCAGCTTTCCTCCTAAGCTGCTTTTAATTGATCTCATAACCACTTTGAACAGTTGGTCGAAAACCTGCATAACAATCGCTCAGCGGAGGCGCTGGAGTCGAGCCTGGGGGATCAGCCCCTCTGTAAACACCAGTCTTTACTCTGAATGAATGAGGAGACAGTCGGATTAGGAAAACTGGCCCCCTCCCCAAACTCATGTCCGTGACATAACCCATCACCGGGATCAGGGAAGCATACAGATTTGGGACAGAGGTAAAGTGACCGGATAGGGGAGGAGGAGGGGACCTGTAAATATTGAGACAATCACCAATTTAATCATATGCCAGAGGGGAACCTCCACACTCTGCGAGCCCTCCGCTGCCCATCTGCAAATAATCAGGGCAATCACTGCGGGGTACTGGCACACATGCGGTTCTCAGCTCTTCTGTGTGTTTCTTTCTCTGTGCGCTGTGTGATCTGGCGTGCAGGAGACGCCGTGTCACGGTCCGATCCGCTTTTCTTTTCTCCAAAGAGCTGTTCTGAAAGAAACCAAACGAAAAACAGTTTATGGTCAAGCCTATTTATGATTTGGAGAGTCTATCTGCGTGGGGTGTGTGAAGTAAAGGGCAGATGGAAGGAGTAGGGATGAGATCAAGAGGTTAACTTTCACAGTTGACCTCAAGAGCTTTACTTTGAGAGCAGCAATCTTAGAAAAAAAAGGGATGCTACACTTGTCAATTCACCAGTCAGGCCAAGCAGAAGGTCTCTCCAGTGAAGAAAACTAACCTACTATTTACTAAATGTGATGAATTTTTGTTGGTGTTGATCAAAAGCCAAATTCAAGCCTGACTTTAAATAACTTTGATTACACCAAATGTGTTGCTTTAATGTATAAGTATTTTTTTCTTGGATAAATGAAAAATACACCCTGGCCAACCTTGAATTTATGGTACAACATTTATTTACAGAACCGTTTCATGTTGTTGCTCAATAAAAAAAACTAAATAAACTTACTGCTGGTTAAAACACAGGCAACCTGAATAAAAGAAACTCAAAAGCAGCAACAGATCTATTGAATGTTGAGTGTTAGCTCCTGTTTAACTGGTCCTTTTGGAAGTTCTTTTGGGACACCCGGGCCAGCAGGGGGCTTTAAGGAGCAAAGTCCACAGAAATACAACCCAGATGTGTAGCTTTAGTCAAAGCAGGGACCTAGTGTGACCTCCGACCTCATTACAGAATACTATAACAGAAAGGGGGTTATTTAAATTGAGATGTTTCAACAGAATCTTGAAAGGTAGGAGTGTTGTTTAAGCCAGCAGACCAACAGTGTGCAGCAAAAGGAGGCAGAGTGCGTTGGTGCTCTATCTATATGGGTCTATGCAGCTGTCGCAGCACAGTATGATGACCTCCATTATTTTAAAGATAAAGTTTCATGTATGACATTGAATTACTTTTATTCCCAACATAAAATAAAAGCAAATATTCCAGCAATGATGACATCATTTTGGTTGCTGGTGAAGATTCTCAGTCATCCAGGTCATAGTCGTTCCAAAAAAGTAGAAAAACAAAACAAAACAATGCACTCGACTTTGTTTCCAAGCTATTAAGTTTCCAAGTCTTTAAACTTGGAAACCAAGTCCAGGGACTTGTTTTTTAACTTCTTGGAATAATTTTGGTTAAAACGATGTCGTCTAGAACATTAATCAATTCAAGTAAAAGTGTGAAAGAAAAGGGAGGGTGTAGTAGATCTCTTTCAGCCGGTTGACTGGCAGTGTGCAGCAGGGGTAATATGGAGCTACTTAATGCCGGGAACAGCTGTGTCTAAAAGGTCATTGTTTAGAAATGCTTGAATGTTCAGCCTCTAAGGTCTTCATATGCAGGATGTGTGTTGTGCACGGTGAACCGATGCAGCACGCCTCGCACTCAGGATGGGCACACTCCTCTCCCCAGGCTTGACTGTCTCAAGTTTGCAAATTACATCCTGCACAACTTATCAAATGTCTTCTTTCATTTGCATGGAGGAGAGCGTTTTGCCAGTGATATGCTTTGCTCGTGTCGCCACACTACTCTGATAGAGATGCCAGCGTAATTAGGCGGGAGGGGGGAGGTCGAGGCGTAAAATAGACAGTGTATGACTTCAGAGCAGACAAGATTGGGATCTTTCTGTGGTTTCTTGGCTGTCGTTGTCTTTCTCTCACACACACACATTGCATGGCATGACCCAACAACCCATTTGGCTGCGGTTACCATACACATTCATCTTTTTTAAATGTAAACCAGATGACGAAACATATTAAATTTACACCTCCTAAGCTCTTATCCTGCCCACTAGAAACAGGAAAGCGATGCCAATGAGCCTTACTATGATATCATAGCAAGACACAGGGGGATTACTTTTCATTTTTATTCTCAGGCTAATGATGCCACCTGCTGACTACATAAAATCAGGCTGAGTACCAGGCCGCCCTGCCTGAAGGAACAGAGGAACACAGCGGGGCCCTAAGAGGTTTAAACAGGTTATGAATAGGTAACAGCAGCAGTCATGTGTGATAAAAAAAGTTGCCATGTGAAAGAGTTAACCCTTACATGTCTACAAGGAAACCCAAGCAGGCTCTGGTGTGTTTACAGATCATATTCAGCTGTGTAATCTGTTACTCTGCTGCGTTTCCAGAGGTTTGTGAAGGACAAAAGAGACGGGATGAAACCAGGGGTTGAGGGATTGAGCCAAGAGAGACACGACAGCTTATCAGGCTGTGTGTGGTGCTTTTTGATGCAAAAAAAAAGAAGAAATGGGAGAAAGTTGTTTTCAATTAGAAGCTCACAAATCCTTACTGAGAAAAGCAAAAACATTTCCAATATTCGACTCTTAGTGATCTGATTTTGGCGAAGCGACTTGAATATGAAACAAAAAAGAAAGGCTATTGGAGTAATGCAAATATGCAGAGCAGCAGTTTATAGTACTGTTCTGGAGTTTTTATGAGAGACTTTTTAAATAATTATTGGAATGATCTCAAACAAAACAAAAATAAAGCTCAAAATATGAGAATTATATCTACAAACATTTCCAATAAAATATACACTTAATATAATAAAACAATCTGAGACATTGGCTATCTAAATTAATTAGTAAATAGCTACTAAAAAGTAGCTATTTGCCTTTGCTAAGCTGCTATATTGCTTAGTCATTAATGCAGTCATTAAGAATTGAATATCGTACCACAATAGGTGGTTTGTTCAGCATAAATCCAATAATTTTCCCTCAGATGTTGGAGCTATCTATCAGTATGAATCTTTAAACCACAGAGATCCTTTCATCAGGTGGCTCATTATGCAGAAGCCAATGATTTTTTAGTTGATGATATCTCGTAGCACATGTAAAGGACTTCAGACCCATTAGATGAGGTGATTCAAACATAATATTGAGTTAATGAATAAGGATTTTATAAGATTTTTCAAAAAAAAAATAACTACATATCTGTTTCTTTTTAGTTTTCAGGTTTTACAGACAAAGCTGAGTTTAAAGAATAACAGTGTACAACAGTTTGGTCAAGGTTAATTGACATCTGAATCCTGTACATTCCAGAGGTTTTTCTGTTTTAAACATTATTTAGATGATTGCAGTTCAGCAGCGTATGTTAATCAGCAATGCTTGTATATCAAATAGGAAAAAGCAGGGAACTTCTAAAACCCGCAGGACAGCAACCCTTGGGGACCAACTTTGGACTAACCTTACGCCACAAACTATATTGTCACAAGATCAGTTCTTAGTCTCACAACAAATCCATCTTGAAAGGACTCACCTGTCGATATTGCAATTGACTCGGTTTTAGCTAAAATAGCGACAATTTCTCATTTAAAATAGGAGCAAAGAAAAGCAATTTGTGCATATGTAGATGGGAAAGATGTCTGTGCTTTTCTTCTGACAGGAATTGGAAAAAGTTTGTTTTATCTGCTTACAAAACATTGAGATTCGCTACTACGATTGGCTGAAAGTGTATTATGGAAGGCTAGCTGGCACGTCACCCAATCACCAATGCTAACCTCAACTTTTAAACAAAGCATGCACGAGGAGAAATGGGCTCTCGCACGCGTTTAATAGTCGTTTTCTCTCTGGAGCGGGTACAGCGTTTGTGCATGTCCTTTTTTTTTTCAAAGTAGAGAGGGCAAGTCTTTTCAAAAATTCGCAAAAATCCTCAACCATACCTACTACTATAATATTACTATACTACTACTCTTCAAAACAAGAGTTGGAAACATCCATCCAGATTTTCAAGCTTTGAATCACTCACCTCCATAACAGCATCTGGGACTCAATCAGCAGCTGGATCCCACTTTGTGAGACAGACTTCCCTTGAAATATTGTAAAATGTTAATGTTATAAGATCTCGGGGTACAAAGTCTTGTGGCATCCATTACTTTCGGTTAGAGTGACAACCTGACAAAAAGTGAAGTGGTGTTTTTCACCA